AACAGAACAAACGTAAATGTAAAAGAGAAGTTCCATGCTCAGTGTACTAAAGATATATAGGTACATATGATGCGGCTTGTGTAACGTTTATCTCATTTTGTCGGTGAAATTGCGGATTCTCGCGAATACGAAACAATGGTGTTTGAATGAATACCCGCGTATTGGACTATAGATCGACAAAGAAAGTGTGTTTATATAGATTATGAATCCAGATGGGAGAATAATGCTGTAAAAAAAAAAAACAAGATTATTTTCGTAACGTTAATAAATTATAAGTCAATAAGTACAGCAACAAGAACGATAACGACAAGAACAACATCAGTAACGCCAATATTCAAGCAAGAGTTATAACAACATTGGTAACGACGATCGCCGACGACAAACATATTACTTACTCTCCTCGTTCAATGATGACGACGTTTATCGTAATTGTACATTAATTTCTTTTCCTCTGTAAAAGCGATTGAATCGATACATGTTGCATCACTGTACTAGCTAAAAAAAAAAAAAAAAAAAAAATACGTAAAATTATGTTCTTCTATGACAATCGGTATATAACTTGAGCGAAAATCCTTTTTTTATTAAATATTTATCAAATCTCGTTCAAAGGAACTCGAACGCGAAATAAATGCGCGCGAAAGAGAATAAAAGAAAAAGAGAGTGATGAGAAAAAAACGCGAAGAAAAGGAGCGAGTGATGTATAATGTATCGTCCCTGAGTCGTCGGAGTATCATATAAGTATACATATGTAGTTATCGAAAAATCTGGCCGTGTAACGTTTCATTCTGATTCGTGATTCGTCACAGGCCGCATAAAAATCTTTACTTTCGCTCAAGGTAAAGATATTTATGAAAAGTTTGCGACTTGCATTGTGTAAGAAAAAAAAAGAAAAAAAAAAAAATTAGAAATGTATAACATTACTCGGCAAATTGCAATCTCTTTGCCGTCGAATAGATATTACACTGAGATAATCGTGAAAATCGATTACTCGCGAATATTTATGATCTTTGTTCGTTTATGTAATTTCACGGTAAAAGCAAGATTGAAAAAAACAAAGAGAGAAAGAGCGAAAGAGAGAGAAAAAGGGAAGGAAGGAGAAAGAGAAAGAGAGAGAGAGGTGTAAATATCGGACTTGAAAGTTATATGCGGTTTTGCTTTGTTGCGGTCAAAAAAAAACCGATCACGATGTAACGTCACGATGTTTGCGGTTTAGAAAAAATTACGACCATCGTAACGTGTAATATAGATCAAATTTTTTTTAAGGAAATTTTATTCGAATAAAAAGTACCGTTATTTTCTTAGTACTTGCGAAATAAGCTGATTTTTTTAGGTTTTTTTTTTTTTTAAATGAATAAAATAAATGTCCATTTGATCGAGCCAATGATTGAAGAAGATACACGAAAGAATTTCGAGAACGCAACAAGTATCGTTTCTGACGCCGTCCTTTTCTAACTCAGCTTGTACGTTGCGATACGATAGTCTGTGTAACTCGGTGCAACTAGATGACAATGATGATGATGACGAAGAATCAATCGTCTTCATGCATCGATTTAATTGGCGTTTCTTCTAGTTTCACTGATATTCTTTTTCTTTTGTTTCTGTTCACTTATATGCGTAACCATAAGCGAGTCTCGTCTTCTATAGAAAGTGATCCGAAATTCATGGGAACACAAGCATCAGAGAGACTTTATGATTCGAAATAAAACGAAAATCAAGAATAATGAAATTGCGTAAAAATTTTCTTGCGTTTGCCTTGGAGAAATTTGATAATTTTTCAAATACAAGTTATCAAATAAAATTGTTTAAAGTTGGTAAGAAAATCTAAATTGAATATAATATAATCAAGGAATCGATGAATTTTTAAATTCGATTTTTTTGAAAATTAATTTTTAAATGAAAAAAAAAATGTATTCTACATTTTCTATTTATTTTCACATTTAAAATAATCCTTTATTAACAGTTCATATCCAATCAGGAATTAGATAATTTCACTTGTGTTTGAAACTTTTTCAAGCTTGATTTACTCGAAAACGAAACGTCAAGTGAAAAAATTTTATTCTATATTTTCGTTTAATTTGAGCCATAGAATCTCTCTGACCTCGTTTATACCATGAAATACGAACCATTCTGTATAATACAATCCTTGGAATGATAACACAAATCGAATGAACTGCGCGCGCGTGCGCTACGAAATAAAATTCAAGATCGATCGAGCCCGCATGCGCAATGAAATGATACAGCAAAAGCTTGTTTTCTCTAAGGAGAACGTATTAGAACGCTTTCTCTCTTTCGCTACTTTGAGCGAGTAGATCATTTGTATAGATTTCAGTCGCGATACCTAAAACTTATGGCGTTTCTTATATCGTCCGTTCGTGCATCTTTTTGTTCGTATCTTGTCGTTCGTTGATATAACGTAACTATCGTCAGGTTATAAAAATGTTTGGTAGAATTAATTGCGGTACGGTAAATAAATACGTTGACACGCGTAATTTTGATCGCGGTCTGAGAATCTACCTTTATTCTTGTATTCGAGTTTCTTTTCGTCATTGAGATTAAATTTTATGATTGATGGAATGATAGAAAAAAAAATAGAAAGGGAGAAAGAGAGAGAGAGAGAGAGAGAGAGAGAGAGAGAGAGAGAGAATGTGCGCGTATATGTATGTATGTATGTGTGCTTGCGTGCAGTGATGGAAAAAAGCGCGAAAGCGAACGAAATATATGTAAGTATACATATTCGCGTTATCGGGTAGCGAGTTTTGGATTATCTCGAACGAATTAGTAAATTTACCTCGCTCGAGCTATTTTAATCGCACCTATAGTTCACCGAACTAAAACGTTGACTCGCTAGCAATCGTTGCGATACCTCAGTTTTTTACCCTCTAAAACTAAGGAAAGAAGGTAAACTTACTAAATACGTTTTTACGTATCGATAATTGTGGCATACGTATGTACCATATCGTTACTTCTTGTAACGTACACGCTTCTCGGACATATTTTTTCTCATACGAAGCTCATGGAATATCGTTTTATAAGTGACCATCTCTTAAAATTAACTTTTATATGATTCATGCGGAATGTTCAAAATATAAATAAGATGCATTATTTTTTTTTGTGATATTGTATACAAATACAACTCTCCAAGTTTCGTATCCTCCAATTATCTTCTTTTCTTTTTTTTTTTTTTTTTTTTTTTTTAAATATCGAATACGGAGAAGAAATTTTTCTCTTCCCCCTGTTCGTCTCCTTATTTTTTTTTTTTTCATATCTTTTTTATTTTTCTTTATTCTTTTCCTTTTTTGAATTTCACACGAAAACGCGAGTTTATTGTTTTTAACGATGATTTTTGTTTGTTCCTATGAAATACGCTAGGAGACACCATGCATACAATAGGAAATGGGGAAAATCGAGAACCTTGCCAATCGCATTCACAGAAATTAACATTTTTTTACACAGGTACGCATATTTCATATTCGACGCGACTTTGAGTTTGTATTCCCTATAATATAATTATATATGCATAACATCAAGTTTTCACGAAATTTACCTTGACTCTGCTTGCAGGGGAGTCGACCTATTTGTGACTTTGAAACTGTAGACCAATGGAGACAGATCAGAGCTAAACTTCACTCAAAAACGGTCCATCCGACTACAATTCATCATTTGCTCATAAATGAATCGATCAGTATATAATCAACGAGTTTCGCCTGTGCCTGCCAGTTCATTACTACACGTTACATATCCATATTCTTAATTGCTGTTAGAATTTCCTACTTTTTGCGATTTTTTTTTCATTCTCTCTCTTCTCTCTCTCTCTCTCTCTCTCTTTCTTTTGCTTATGATTTTATCACTCATAAAATGTTTCTTTAATAACGTATATTGAATGTTTATGATCTTTAGAAAAGATAGAAAAAAAGTAATCATCTCCGGTGAATTGAGATTTATGAAAAATTGTATGAAAAAAAATGAGTGATTCGATTTTTAATGACGATTTAATGATTTCATTTTGCAATTTATACTTTCAACGACCGATGCTGTATTATTGATTGATTTTAATTTATAAATATTCGTTTCTAGTTATTAATTCGAACGAAATATATATTTTATATCATATATGTTGACGATATATTTTCGTCATTCATATTTTTATTCATATCAATAATGATTGTCTTTAAGTAGCGTGTTATTTTCTTCTTTTGGTAATTTTATTCGAACGATAAGTTTATTATTATCCCGCAAAGTCTTTTTTTTTTTTTTTTTTTTTTTTCCCCATCAAATTTCAATGATCAGAATCAATAACCAGTTTATCGATTAATTTTCATATATTTATAAAAATAGATAAGAATATATTCGGTCTTCGAAAGTTTTTTCATAACGTCGTATTAGTATTTCAAATATTTTGTATTATTTATTATTGATAATTTGACAAGATAATTTGATTTTCTTTTTTATTATATTCACCGAATATACGTTTGCGAATTATACGAATTAACGTGCGATAATATGCTTCACGAAATTTTCAAGGATGTGTCAACGTTGTTCGATAACATGTATAAAATCTACGTATAACTTGAAAGATTGATAAACTAACTTCGTAGATTGATCGTCAAGCATGATCGGTTCCTCTTCGTTTCGTCTAAAGTGAGTGTGTACAGTTTTAGATATGAAGAAAGATGAAATATAAAAGATGATTCGCGAACCATCCATTGAACGTATTCTATACTACTCGAAGCTTTACTGGGGCCAAGAAATTTGTTCGTAAGTTTCCGCGGATCATATAAAAGCTGTAAATGTAGCTATCGTATATAAGTTGTATTTATAGAAATTTTAATATTTTCAAGACACAAAGTACAAAGTAACACGACCGGATCTCAAACCGTTTCGAAATAACCGCGTTTGCTTTTTAAGAATGCGTATACTTAAGATATTTTATATTGTTGTTGTTAAGTAATTAGTCGAAATTAATAAGTGTTTGCGACAAATTGTGCCGTTGTTTCGTCGCTCTTTTCTAACATTTGCGAAAAAGGTAATCGATCGATGTATTCTTAAGCGATCTATACGCGCAAATAGACGTAAAAATTGAATTAATATTCTTGATTATCGATTCGACTGAACTTTATTTCAAATATATTGTATCTGCGTCACAAAATATTCCAAATACTATCCAAATTGAAATGAAAAAAAAAAAAGAGTGCGAGTTTAATTTCGATAATATTCGATATGTTGTGTAACTATACATATTTACACGTAATTGGAAAGAATTGGAATATTCGGTAACGCAGTGTATTCAAAACAAATTATAAGATATCACAATATATAAGAAAGAATATCGTAGATTACAAAAGTACAAGTTCTCTTGATGTAGTTTTCTCCGAATTTTTTAACAAAAAAAATATCGGATTGCCAATATATGGTAATGTTTGATGTATACAGATGATTATTATTTGAAGAAAGGAGTTGAAACACGAGCATCAGCGCGGCCGTTTTACCTTCCTCTGCCTCGTCCTCGATTAAAACCGCCTCTACCTCGACCTGCAACTTTTCCCTTAGGTGGTGGTGACTTTGGTCTAAGAGCTTCGATACGTTCGGTACAACCAGTAGTGATTTGTCCATTGGCAAAATAACTACTATAAAGATCTGCGTTAAAATTCGTGTTAGTTAGCTCGGGTCCAACAGTAAGCCATCCTGGTCGAATAGTGGTGTCTCGACCGAACAAGTGCAATCTATATAAAACGTGAAAAATTTATTGATTAACAAATTTTAATATATTGCTTTTTATCATGAATATATATATATATTTCAATGTATATTTCAATCTTCTCACCGTCGTCTACCAAGACAAAAATGTTCTATTATATGAAAAATCTCGACAGGCTTTTCTATAGAACCATACTCGGGCTCCTCTGAAATAATCAGATCGATATCGACATTGGCATGAATAAAATCTCCATCTGTGGATCGTCTAACAGTTCCCTTGATACCCATCAGACAATGTTCTTTCGTTCTTTGAAGAACGGCTTTGCTGTCCAAATTTTTACTGTGTCCTGGATTATTGATATTGGTTCGAATCCAGCATATATCTTCGCATCGTCTGAAACCCCATTTTCGAAGACAAAAGCGTCCCATGTCTAATCCATCGCTACTGCCGCACCAGAGAAATACGAAACTTCGATTAGCCGCTACTTCGCCGATATCTAATTCCATTATCTACAAATGTCGATTGTTTTTAATACAAGCACTACGAATATTTACAGAATTCTGCCTTTATTAAATAACAATTAATTAAAATGTCCTAGAATTCCGAAATATCCGAAATATTCGAGAAATTTGAAGCTTTACCATTTTTATATTAATATTAGAATTGATATCAGAATTAAGTTAATTCTAGATTTCTATAAAATTTGTATAAATTTTCTGATTTTACTTAAAAGGCAAAAGGAAATTTCAAATATTGCAATATATCTTAAAAAATAAAAATGTGTTTGAATTTTAATTAAAAAGGGCAGAATTATTTCGCGATATCTATATAAACTACGATCTTTATTAACCTGGTCCCAATTCCAAAGTTGTACGTTTGTAGCGCCACAGGTGCGTTGATATTCTTCCAACGGAGGCTCAATTAAAATTACATCAAATTTGCAATTCAATTCTTTCAAATTGTATGAGAGCAAATCAGTTTTAAGATACATGGGTGGCGTTGCAGTTTCCGCAATTAAATCGTCCTTTAATTTAATCAATTCCCGTAATTTCGGATATTCTTCGAATCTATCCGCCAAACCCACATCCCTAATAAAATTCTGCGGTCGTTGACCCGTATCGATGAAGTGTTGACAGTAATCATTATGCGGATTTGATGATTGTGTTCCCTTAAATAATAATATATAAATACTTTCGATTGTAATTCGATTTCTTTCAATATAAACACAGATTTGCTTACCTTTAAAAACGTCGACGAGTCTTTGTAAACGATTTCATCGGTCGTAACCACCTCGTTTTTCGAATCTTTTACTCCATTTTCCGACTTTTCTGCCACCGATTTTAATTTTTTCTTCTGCGTATCATTGACATCTGTTCCGAGAATTTGTCGTAATTCGTCCACACTCGAAACACCTAGCTAAGTAAAAGAAATAAATTCATATCTTTTATAAACTCTTTTGATTTGAATGATCATAACCTCAACAACACAAAATCAGGTTGGAATTGTTCTCACCGTTTGAGCAAGTAATTTCTTGCGTTTTTGCGAACGTTCACGTAACGTCTGAAGCATTTTGTATATAAATTCTTTGGAATTGTTTGCAAAATTTTAGGTTATCATTCATTTCCATTTATATATATATTATTTTTCATTTTGATGAATCAAAAAATGAAAAGAAAAATTACTAAAATATAATTTTTTAAATTCTTTTTATCATATAATTTATTATTTTAGATTAAGATAAGATTGTAAAATTTGATAATAGATAAACGATACGTGACACAACTCTTCAAACTAAAAACAAAATATATCTATATTTGCACGCCATCTTGTAGCAAAATCAACTTTCATTGCTGGATCGAGCTACAATGGCGCATAAGTGACCTCTTGCGGAAAATTATACAACGAGCAATGTAGTTATTTCGCGGCTGATCAAAATTTAAAATTATATACATATTTATTTATTCTAAAAAAAATCGTATATAAAAGAATTTTGCAAATCAAATTTCAAAAATATTAAATATAAATCTTTTTATATTATGTTTTCCGGTGTAAAAACAATCATTGAAAATGGTAAATGCAAGCCCGATACTCAACGCACCAAGATTTAAGGATAAAGGACAGATTTGAAATCTTTTAAGACATTTAAATCTTTGAATTTTTCAAAATCTTTTAAAAGATTTTTTAGCAAAATAAAAATAACCAAAGAGAAAAAAAAGATATATTTGAACATAAAAGTTAAGAAACTCGTTAAAGAAAATAATGTATTTGTGAAATAAAATAAATTTGATTCGAAGAAATAAACTATATGAATAATAATAGATGGTTATAAATACGAAAGCTTTTATGATCGACTATTCTTTTATTTGCTTTAAAATCGACATGTAATTGCTTACAAAAAGAATTAATATAAAATACTATAACGATAATATAATAACGATTATAAATGTATATCAGTTAATTTTTTGTGAGATATAAGATTTCTAATGGTTACGACAGACCGTTTGAGACAAGACGTTTTTCGTAAACGACTGCGTAGAATATCTTATAACGAACATTTTATAATACTCTATGTAATTAGCCACAATTGATTCTTGACGAATCGTAGCGAACAATCATTTCAAAAGTCACATGGAAATATAAATGATTCAATTTATGATAAGTATTTCACCTTTTGAATATAGGAATAGTACGATAAATAAATAGTAATCTATATCAGATTATCTAAATATCAGATTAGATCTAAATTTATCTAAGTTTTATTTTCTAATTCTAATGGATCAAAAATTAATCATTATATCACAAAAATTGATATGATGCAATAGATAAATAGCAATACATTTTTTGTTGAATCCTCTTAAAAAAGGATAGAAAAGAAGATTTATTGTAAATTAGATTTGATTTTTACATAAAAATCAAAAAAAAAAAAGAAAGAAAAATGTCCTACATTTATTAAATTATATAAATATATACATATATATATATATATATATATATATATATATATATATTTACATATATAAAGGAAAACACAAAAGAGGTAAAGAAATGAAAGATATTCGAGTTGTTTTTCCATGAGGGTTGATTGGCGAATTAGAAAACGAAAAACTGGATGAAATTTTGGTAGACGTCCTCTAGAGCAGGTACAAACGATAGACGATGAATCGGCATTGATCGGCGAGGATCGGTATTAACCGGTGTCGACAACAGAGACGAGATCCTCTTTGACCCAGTCCATCGCGACGGTATCAAGGTAACGGTCGTAGGAAGCAGGTGGTGAAAGACTGTGCCGTCGTCGCATCGCTTCCTCGTTGGTCATCTCGTCGTTGCGATCGTCTTTCCGTCGTCTTCGTCTCCGCAATAAAATCGTTAAACGTCCCATCGTCCTGTCTCGGCCGGTCAAGCTTTGGATTTTCAACGAGTCGAAAGTCCCCTAAAAGAAAATAAAACCGAGTACGTTCCTGTGTACGTGAGTTCGTTGGACGATCAATGGAATAGAATTTTCCGATCTCATCAAGGATTCTCGATCTATTAACTCGTTCACCCGAATAAAATGATTCGGTAAACGTTTCGAATTTCTCTTGACGCGAGGCGAACGGAAGCCCGGACGGAGGAAACGTGGAATCGAGTGATACCGAGTGAAAATCGATCCCCTATCGGTCTCTCGTCGTCATTTTTCGTGATACGCGGCCAAGTTCGATCGAGCGTAACGGTTTCGATTGTCGCGCGGCCTTCCAACCGTGATCCATCGTGAACCGGTGCAAGCCACCGGATAGGTTACGCAAAGGATACAATACGCGAAAGTCGTATGAGAGATACATAAATTGTGTTTGTCGATGTCGGGCCAGGTTGGCAAAGTCACGTACACGCGACACATCGCGCGTTGGCGAAAACAATTTTTTGCAGCCGAGCGCGTTCGTTGGCACAACAGGTGTCGTGGAAACGAGAGAGGGGAGGATCGGCAGGGGGAAGGTAGATGACAGAGGTGGTCCCTCGGCCTCGTGTCGGCGGAGGGGAGGCGGGGTTAAGAAAAACCACAAGTCGAGTGAATCATCGGGCTGTTACCGTTCCGATTGGTCGATTGGCCGAGCCTCTTCCACGAAATCCGCCGCGAATTCCGAGAAATCGGCCGGTGGCGCTACACTCACCGTTATCCCTTTGGCTATTTACGCGCTCGGTGCCGGCAACAAGCGTCCCATAATCGTCGGCCCTGGATGGTCGCGGCGACCCACGCGAACGGAACACGCGGAGGAAAAAGAGAAAAAACGAAGACGACGACGACGACGGCGACGACAACGACGACGACGACGACGCGCCGATTCGGGAATCAGGGTTAGATAATTGGAAAGATAGTCGGCGAGAAAGCGAGACAAGCGTAAAATAGTTAGATAAACGTGGGGGGTTGACGTGCTCGGCTACACGCGTTCAATAACTATATGACATTCGCATTATCGACGCGTCGCGTGTTGATGAACACGCGTGTGATTACCGTTCTTTTTCTCTTTCTTCTTCTTCTTCTTCTTCTTTCTCTTCTTTTTTTCAAGGAAATACATGTCGACATTGCATGCGTGATATTCTCCTTATTTTTCGCTGCCCTCGAAATACCATTGTCCTTGATCGTGGCGTATCGTGGCTACGAATCGCGTTATTGGGCGTTGGTAGTTAATTAAATCCGTTCCGTTCCTTATTTTGTTTCCGCAGGATAGAATTTGAATTGGAGAGAGGCGAGATCGAAGAATTTGGACAAGATGAGACCCGACGAGGTGATACAAAACGAGAGAAGAGCGATGGAGACGATGTCCGAGACATCGGAGGGCACAATGACGACTAGTATTTCCGGAAAATCTGGCTTCGAAAGTCGTGACGAGTTGTGCGACATCGCGGCCGTGCTTGGCATCGGAAATCCGGATGACCTGCTGCAGGAAAGATTTCGTGTTGATCGCCGTAAATTGGAACAGATGCTTCTAGGTGAGTCGCGTTTAGTCATTCGATTCTCCATCTTTCTCCGCCCCCCCTTATATCTTTATCTTCGCTCTTTGTCCGGTACACGAGCATATGTTCCATCCTTCGATGCCTATGTGTTGCGCTACGATTTAAATATATCGTCTGTTTGTAAACGGAATTAGAGGGACTGTCAAATGCTAATTGGCCGCGATTAGTAACGTTTATATTTTGATCGAGACGCGATACAGGGTAGATGTTTATGATGGAATCAAGGGAATCGCGTAAATACACGAGCGGTGAATTTATCCGTTTACCTATCGAAGATAGGAAACGAATCAGTGTCAAACGAGGATCAGCGTTCAGGCTGAAATTTCCTTTTGCCATTAAATTGGCAAAATAATGCAATTTTTTACACATATCATTGCACATATAATTTAATATCTGTCGAAAAAACATATTTTTGTTCATAAATCATCGGAATATTAATAAAATCAATTAATAAAAAATTCATTTAAAATATCGATGCATAGAATTATGATTACAATATAATATATCGATAATTAATCGCTTGTTTTATTATTTTTTAATCTTAATATAACATCTAGTTTGATTCATTAAGCATCAAGAAATAAGAATAATGTGTAATGTTATATTTGTGTGTTGTTGTATCAAGATATAAAAAATATATTAAGTTAAATTTAAAAAGAAATTCTTATTTTAAAGAAAAATATGGTTTATCATATGCTGCATATTTATAGTTTAATTTTTTAATTTTTTAAAATTTTATATGATTTATAATTATATGAAAAAAGAAATATTAAACAAAATATTTACAAGTAACGATAATTGAAAATCAAATTTATATATTAATGTTAATCGTTAATAAGTTTGTGCTTAAAATTAAGTAAGTTCGTAATAAATATAAATTGTATAAATATAAATGTAATAAATATAAATTAAAACAGCTTTTTTAAACAATAATTTTGTTAAAATGAAACATTTATCTGATTTTTCGGTTTTAAAATGTTTCTAAGTATAATTAATAAAGTTTTTCATAATGTTTTGCGAAAATATATAAATAAATATAATATCTATCCAAGAAATATAGTTATAGAAAAATGCAATAATTATAAAAAAATATAAAATGAGTTTTTTTAATATTTTTAAATAGTTATTAATATTTTATGTCTTATTTATACTTACTTACTTTGATGCTAAGAGTAACATAATATTTTGCTAAAAATATTAAAAAAAAAGCATTCAAACATTGCCTTTGGACAAAACTTAGTAGATACAATAAAAATAATAGTAACTAATTATAAAGCTCTTTAAAATGTTAGTATCTAAAAATTTATATAAATTTGTTACGAATTTGCATCCTTCTAAAGTAAATACTGCTTCCCTCCATAATTGGATAGTAGAAGTTTATTTTACAAAATAACGGCACAAAAGATGTTTCCACGATTCGTTTTTAATTTCATAATATAAATGGAATTTTTATATACTTTGTATAAAAGAAGAAAGGATAAAAAAAATATTAAATAAATTTTTAAAATTGTATAATTCTCATTTAAAAAAAAAAAATGATATGATTATTGAATTAGAAGCAAACAGAATTATAAATGAAATGTCGGATTAATGTAACACTTGGCCTTAATGGATTAATTAATATTGCGCGTTCTTCCGAATTTTTTCGCGTCCTCCATCGGGTCAATCCATCCTGAAAGGTGGAACGACCGAGGAAGAGAAAGAAAAAAAAAAAAAAAAGAACGGACAAGAGTTCGTTGTATCCTGACAATTATTTTCTTTGTTTACAGGTGATAATAACGTACCAAAACCAGCGGACACATTTTTTCATAACGTA